GGCAAACATCTCCTTTGATAATAATCTAGCGTGCCAATAAACAAATTATTGTCTATAGAGAAATGAGCCACAGTGACCATGTTGGACCATTACAGTTGCTGTTGCTAAAAGAAGCCTATGTAAATGGCTACATTCAATAGTTACTGGGAGGGGCAAATCCAAACTTTTAGCAGCCAGACTAAGTATCTAAAGAGGGCAAAGTGGAATAATTCTGACCCTCAGAAACCTGGTCCACCTAGGAAGGTAACATTTACTTTGCATTTTATATAATGGTAAAATAAAGATGGTATACAGGTCCAGGGCAGCACTCCACACATGGGAGGTACAATCCTCTCCCCTTCTTTTCTTTCTGCCTCTTTAATGTATCAATACATTGTCATGCAGCCGATTGACTTTGTTTAACTTTATATGCTTATCTTCTAAAAATGAGGACACCAGTGTGACTTGCTCCAATCACAAGTATACAAGCATGCTGTCAGTTCTGACACATCTTCCTGTGCTAGCCCTAAACCATAAACATGTACAACTTGAGACAAAAGACATGGCACAAAAGGAAGGATAATACTCATCTACATACAATTTAACCAATCGTGATTGCTATTATAGTATATTGTTATTACTTTGCCTGGAAATAGGGCCAAGGCCCCTTCCACACTTCTTGCTGCCTTATTAAGTTGGTCAACCATTTTCTTCCTCAGACGAAGCACTAGTAACAATCTTCCTCCCTCCCTTCAGCCCCCTTCCCATACAAGGAAATAAAATTTTCCCCTGATATAGCCTAGTAACTTCTTCTAACTCACTACCCAGAGCATTGTCACAGGCATATTACCTACAAAACAAATGTGAAAAGCAAATAAAATAAGAAGTCTTGACAATGTGGAATGAGCTGGCAAAAACTATAAATAGACAAAGACAGTAAGTATCTAAATACATCTCAGTATTCACAATAGCCAGAGTCACAGTATTTGGAGAATGAATGTAGATACATATATAATCTGCAAGATATATCTAAGGTGGGACTGTTAAGGACAGATAAGGACTAGTAAAAAAATGGGAGCTCCAAGAGGTGTGGCAGAGATTTAACACCCCTGAAACTCTGAAGGATGCTGTGAGCAAGCTCATTACAGAGGTCGCCCTGCCTCCAGATCTGTCTTTTAGAGGCCATTTATTCAGGTACACTCTCACTTGACTTAAGTCACAGTCTTTTTAGATCCAAGATAATAAGCATGATTTCCAGTATGTAGAGTGTGGCAATCTCTCCACTGCCAAAATATCAGCATAGCACACGTGAACCCAACTCCAAAAGGGAGACAAAGCCAGAGTCTCCTACCTCTGCCCTTCCATTCTTTCCACACAAACAGAAAGGAAAGGTGAGGAAAATGCATTGAACAGGGTCTGTGTGTGTTTCTCCTGGAATAGAGAGAGAAAAGGCACTTGCTAGCTTGCTGCATTTCAGTGCCTGGCCAGAGCACTGTAGTGTTCATCACACATCATTTTTGAGATTAATGATGTGCACCCAGTTAACGGAAAGCAACAGATTAGGTCTCCATTACTAGTTTTGCAAGTTGTCTTCATTCTCTGTCTGCCTCATTTAATAACAACCTCACTGTTCAGTAGGAAAATAATGGCTTTAATACCAAAGCAAAACTCCATTCATTCATACAAAACGGGTCAGATTTATGAAATAAAGAATATTACTACTCTCTTTAGAGGTGTGCAGATCCTTAGTTATATAACAGAATGTAATCAGAGATTATATTTCTAAAGGACTTTTTGTGAGTTTTGTTTGTTCATTTGTTATTTAGGTACCAATCACCTTAAGAATCTACAGCACTACCCTGAAGTCTAGAATATTCCATAGCAACTTCCTACCATGACACAAAAAACAAATGTAATGTTATCATTTTTATCCTTGTCCTGGGCTGAAGACAACTACTGTCATGAAGACAAATGCACACCAGTTTCTTATATAGTACTATGCTACTATGATAAGTGCCAAAAATATAAATAAAATTTACACCTGCTTCTTTTCAACAATGGGAAGTGTATACTCAATGCATTCTTTTGCTTAAAGTGCCTAGAAAGCAAACACAATCTGCCATACTTTTGTAGCCAGTATTCATATCCATTTGCGAGACAGACCAGTTATGAAGAGGAAGGATAGGCAGGATGGATTTCTATATAAACTGCTTAAAACAAGATTAAAGATGAAATACCAAACAATGCAACCCAATGGGTCACCCCAATGGTACAGTTTGTCCACAAACTGAAGATAATTCTCCCTTGCAAGTCTAATTTCCTTTTTTTTTTTTTAAGGTAATGCATTCAGCTAGATCATTTGATGATTTAGGCAATCATGTGTTAGTACTTTTCTCTAGGGAAAAGGTTTTCTTTTTTTTTTTTTTACTTTTCTTCTAAAATTATTTTCATGTTCTTTTCAAAGGGAGTTATGAAATCTTAACCAATTGTTAGAAAAGGCTTGGGTATCTTCCCTCCTTCCCTCCCTCCCTCCCTCCCTCCCTCCTTTCTTCCTTCCTTCCTTCCTTCCTTTCTCCTTTTTTAACCTTCAAACTATAGGCCAGGCTGGCCTAAAATTGAGAAGGCAATCCTCACATGCCAGGTTCCTGAATATTAGAATAACCATCAGGAGCTACATAGGAGCTCAGCTTGGGTAGGTTTGACCTGAGACAACAGAGTGCTTAAGTCATAATTTGGGTACTAGCAAGTGCCTTTGCATAGCAATGCAGTGGTCTTTTTCTCACAAAAGATCAGAAATCAATCACGCAAATTTTTCTGAAATCTCAAATCTGGCCTCTGACAACAGGTCCTTAAAGCAAATGGTATCTCCTGACATAGAGACAATCAAGAGCTAAGTCACCTATCAAAATATTGCACAGGTACAAACAGTTATTTACGTGACCAAAATGATTAAAAGAGCAATCAAACAATTTATTGAGAATTGAGAACATGACTAAAAACTGCTGCTATTCTCTCTTATTGCTGAAGTTTCAGAGGGTAAGGAAGAATGATGGAGGCAAATACTCTCTTGATAAATTCCATGAGACTTTGCCCATTGTACTGAGTATTTCATTAATTTTTTTCCTGTGCTGAGACATCTCCAAGAATATCTCACAGTCAAACTGAAAGTCACACTGGGCACTTTTGTATAGCTGGCTTAACTCTATCAGAGGGGACCAGGCATGGTGGCACACACCTTTAATCCAGGCACTTGGGAGGCAAAGGAATGTGGATTCTTGTGAGTTCTGGGCCAGTCTGATCTAAATAGTGAGTTCCAGGACATACTGAGAACCTGTATCCACAAAAAAATAAAAATAAAAATAAAGTATCACAGGCACATGTGATGGAGGATGTTTTATGTAGAAAAAGAGATACAGCAGAGAAATGTTTATCCAGATAACACTTAGTACTTCAATAATGTGTGCTATAAGAAATTCTATTACAGCTGGACAGTAGTGGCATCACCTTTAATCCCAGCACCTGGGAAGCAGAGGCAAGAGGATCTCTGTGAGTTCAAGCCTGATCTACAGGGCAAGTTCCATGACAGTCAAGGCTATACAGAGAAATACTGTCTGAAAGATCAAAAATGAATGAATGAATGAATGAATCAATCAATCAATCAATCAATGGATAGAAATTGAAAATTCTACTATAAATGAGTCAAGTGTGTCTTTTAAAAAATGAAAACATAAAGGTAGGAATATAGTTACTTAGTGATATGAGGAAAGCATGTCATACATATGTTATCAGTCGTGTTTATCAAGAGGAAGAACATATATCACTCTAATTCCTTGAGGAATTACTTACATGGGTAACAAATAGCAAATAGCTACACAGCCTGACTCAGGAACTTACATCTGTACAATTCTGTTTTATTTATTTGTTGTCTGGGGCTTCAGTGTTTGTTAAGGGGGCTGCAAATGCTGGCATTTTCCTTTGGCTGCATCAGACCACCTTCTTCCTATTGCTACATCAAGTTCCATGACAGATACCCATGAAATCAGTAGACTAATAGTATATAGTCAGGAGATCTAGTGATGACAGTCACCAAGGCACTCAAGTCACAGACGAGTCCACTGGTTCACAATCACTGCTCCAACAGCAGTTTGACACACATGCACATGCAAGCATGCACAAAGGCACACACGTGTACACACACACCCCTCCCACTTACATATGCAATATGTAGGAATCTGTAGGTCCTTAAAAAAACAATAATACATGGCTTTCCTATCAGAGTAAAGAGGATATTTTTCAGTTCAGGAATAATGGAAGCTCTAGTACCTAACAAAGTGCACTAAATTTTCACCAGCTGCATAACCGGAAAATGAGAACCTTAACTTTCACCAGAATGGTGAAACTGGAAAAATTAATAAAAGAAACCAAGTAAGGAGATGCATTGGGTTTTTTTTGTTGTTGTTGTTCTTGTTGTTGCTTTTAGTTAATGAGTAGCAATCATTAAGAAAGGACTAACTTTTCAAATGCATGAATGGAATGGTTACTGACATACATGCTACTGGCTGTTGTGGAATGTGCTTGCACGTAAATACCTTTTCATTAGCCATATAATAAACCACAAAAATGGTGAAATCTCAAGTCTAACACAAACTCTGAGTTCTTACAAAAGATTATGTATTTCCAGGCCCTAAGCCTGATAGCCTGCCTGTGTGACTGGCATGTCTTCAAGCTGGGACATGAACTTCAATGGTGAACTACATAAAGCCAGTCACAGAACCCCAAAGAGGGAATCTACATTCTTCAATGTGTCTTTTCATTGGAATCAGATTAAGCATCCCAAGAAAAATCATCCAAAGATTTTCATGGACAGCCTATCTTTTTTGTTGTTGTTGTTTGCTTGTTTTAAATATTTCATTTGGTTAAGAAAAATAATAATCATGTCACCACTTCAAGATAACATTTCACAAAATTCTATCTTCTGTTTATCTCCCAAATGTTATTTTCAAGAAATCAGTAAGCCAATCCAGTCAGAATATTGCAGTTTAATGGGAAAAAAAACTATTTTTCCTGCACAAAGATATAGAAATATATGCATCAGAATCAGAAGTAAGTAGCCCTTCACCAAGCAAACAATTGTGGGCTGAAGTGATGTTTTTGTATGCATGAAAATATTGTCTCTAGTTAGAAGGTTCTGTGCCAATGTATCCAAACTCCTCCTCAAGGATGAGGAGACGGGGTTCAATGGGGAGGAACACAGTCCGTTATTTATATCTATAATTCCCATATACAGGGAGACCCAATACATGAAAGTACACAGCAGAAAATCTCAGAGGATTACCTGGTATTCATTGGGCCAAAAAGTGCTCACTGCCAGCTCAGCCCGAAGCCAGTCTCGACCAGTGAATCCAGTCACATTCCAAATTGGATTAGCAAGTGGTCCTTTATTCACCCTAACTAGAATGTTCAAAGTGCCAGGGTTCAACCCCTTCTGGCTATATAACAGGTAACTGAAATCAATACAGTGCGTGTCATTCTCCTTCATGGTAGGCAGCTGAAGTCGGGCTTTTTCTCCAGGATCATGATTTGAGGAGTCCACGACCATATAGGAACCTGAAGCGACAATACAAATAACAGTGCTAAGAAAACTGATAAGCCAAAGGGAACATACAACAACAAAAAATACTACTCCCTGAAAATAATAAATCTTAAAATGTCTTCTTGGGCACAGCAATAGAATAATATTAGTCAAGACATAGTCAAGATACTTGGTAAATCCATTCCTTACTAATATTGAACAAACTGGATGGACAAATTGATTCTTCTCTACAACTTGTAACAAACCATGTTTAACAAATTAGAGGCATCACTACTGACTCAAGGTCATATGGTAGACCAGGAAGAGCCTGATTCCAGTTCAAATCTCTGTCTAATATTTCCCCAGTCCTACCAAATGCAAGGTTTTGAAAAATAAACCAAATAAATTGATTGATCTGATATGCATGGGAAGTACTTTCTTCTCTTTCTTTCTCCCTCAACAAGAATGGTAATAATGCAGGGAAATTGAAGACGGCAGGAAATGGGATAACTTCCAACTTCAAATACCAATGGTTTTCTTTATTCAAGTAATATGCCTTTTGCCACTTACTAACGACCGAGAACATCAAGTCACAGAGTAAGAATACTTTGTAAAGTGAGTATGAGGGTTAATGTTTAACTTTTCTTTTCTTTCTTTCTTTTTTATGAGGACCTGTGTGCCTGTGTACATGTGTGCATGAATGCATGCATGTGTGCATTCGTGTAGTCACATGTATGTCAGGGCACATGGCTGAAGTCAGAAAGCGCTTGAGTGAGTCAGGATTCTCCTCCCAGTAAATGGGGTCTAGGAATCGAATTCAGGTTTCACAGCCCCTGAACTGTTCTGCTGACCCTAAATTCTGGTACATACCTGATACAATGTAGTTTCATTCACTAAACTGTCAGCCTATTAAGATTACCCCAGGCTGCACTGACCACTCTACTCTTCTAAAGCTGAATAAAAGCAAGCATGAAGTCACTATGAGAAACTAATCATTCATTGTGGATTGTGATGATAAAAATGAAAGAGTCCTAACTTCAGAGCACTAACAGTGACATTTTGCTACTGGCAAAGGTCACGTGGTGACTACAACAGTTGGATGTTGACTCTAGGCTACTACATTAATGCAAGCAGCTCTCCAGAAAGACATCCTGCTGTTCTCAGCAAAAAAAAAAAAAAAAAGTATTTAATAAAAACACAAATGACAAATACATGAAGATATTATTTTGTCACACTTAAAATTAGAACCAAATTTTATCATAAATCAGTTTTCTCCCCAGGATATAATTTCAAAAGCAATACATTAGGTGTCATGTTACAGAGCTAACTTTCACAAGGGTTCTGACCCTACACTTGGCCCTCTCTTCCTGAAATACAGAATTAATCTTCTGTATTCTGTTTTGACACATAATAACTTGTACCAATGACATACTAAAAGCTCAATGACTACTGGTCTACCTATCTCAATTAATCTACAACCTGGAGTTCAAATCACTCCAGGGAGTAAGGCTTCAACTACATAAAAAAAATCAAATTTTCAATCTGGACAATTCCCACCAGAGTGGACCTTTGTGATCCTAAGCTTTTATGACAATTTTGCCTCAGACTTCAGTACAGTCAAGTACAGAATATGCATACTATATTAATAGTAATTCCTGTTATTGTTTACTTGGGGTTCCCAGTCTTCATCTTCTCTCATAAACTGGAGTGGCTTTTAACTTGATTCTCACAGACAGCACATTAGTAAAATAAATCATCTGTGTATTTTTGGAAAATGTTTGCCAAAAGAGGAGGGGACAGGATATCCTGTATCCTAACCTAATTTGCAGAAAGGATGCTTTTACTCATGGCTCTTCTCACATACTTAACACAGTAACTAATTTATCAAAATGTCTTTCTGAATTACCAGTTTGCATCAAGACTAGATTCTGGTCTTACCTATGACCAGACCTGAGATCCTAGAAAAGCTAGCCACACCGTTGGCCTATTTCCGTGTCCTGTTTCTCCATTGGTAAAGCATTTGACAAGGAAATTATGTATTTATTTTTACAAGTTTAGCTTCTGACTTGCAATTTTAAAGTGTGGAGCTCAAAAGATTTATTAGCTTCCTAATAGCAATTTTCTTCTATCACAAAATAAAGTTTGGAATAAAATATGCTTTGTGTCACATTTTAAATCTGCATTATATTTACCATTAAGACCATTTAGCAATTTTCAGCCATTTGCATTTTAAGCTACAACCATTTTTTTTAAAGAAATGAACAAACTCTAGTCATCATTAGTCCTTACCAATTTGATCATTAGAAAGATGAAAGTCATGAAATAAAAGCTTAGCCTAACTATTTCAGCATTTTAGTACCACTCAACACAGGTTAAATAATAAAGCAAATTAGTGCTGATAACTAACTTCTATGGAATGATTGGGATAAATAGTCTTATTTACACAGAGCCCTGCCTGGCTCCCTGGGCTGAGTTCTGTGCATTAATAATGCACTTACTGAACAGTTCTGCAAAGGAAGAAGCAAGCAGTAGCAACTGAAAGCCCCATCAACCCACTTGATAGAGTGGCCATTTATACAGTTGGCCCCTGTGTAGCTACAGCTGGGACACAGACCTCCCTCCATTAGCTTGAATGTAGCCAACACTGTGTTCTGAGCAATTTCTAAAGACTGCTTCTACAATCTCTGAGAACAATTGGCTCTGCATACATAAAATCTGGGAATTTTACACATGTATGCTGCTCATTCTTAATGTTAAAAATCAAAGCTTATTTACTGATATTCTGGTTCCCTCAAATTCAAGTGTTCAGTAGTGTTTGATGGAGGCTTAGCTATCTGAAGGCTTAGTAATGTCAAGTCACACACGTGTGGTATACTTCACTAAAGGTAGTTTCTTTGATGTGTGGTTAATATTCTCCACCATTACTTGAGAAATGCCTAATCTACATGCTTGCATTATTTTTAAGTAGTGCAACGTACTGGAGAACAATTAGGCAATAAGAAGCAAAACCTTGAAAGGTATATCTGCCCTCTGATGTGGTAATTCAAAATTGATAAATGTGCACAAGAAAAAAGTCACTTGTAGGCCAGGCATTGGTGGCGCACGCCTTTAATCCCAGCACTCAGGAGGCAGAGGCAGGCGGATCTCTGTGAGTTTGAGACCAGCCTGGCCCATAAGAGCTAGTTCCAGGACAGCCTCCAAAGCCACAGAGCAACCCAGTCTCAAAAAACCAAAAAAAAAAAAAAAAAAGTCACGTGTAAATGAACAAAGATACAACTGAAAAGAACTCATTTCATTATATTGATTAAAATGGAGAAAATAAAAGGAATATAAATATTCAATAATATACAATTAATAAAGTTTCAGATAATGAATTTGATGAACAGTGATGTAGCCATTAAAAATATCATTTAAATATTTCATAGTAGGCAAAATATGCAGGCTATAAAATATTGCATTCATATGGCTACTTTTCCATCACTGTGACAAAATACTTATGGAAAATCAACTTTAAAAACAGAAAAGATTTATTTTGGCTGAAGGTTTCAAATGTTTCATTCCATGGTCACTTGGTGTCACAACCTATGACAGAAGTAGTATAGAAGAGCTACTGTTGACTGAGTCAAGATACATGTCTAAGACAACAATCTCAGTAAGCCCCACTCCAAGCAGCCCCTACCTCCTAATAAGCTACACAATGACAAGAACATCAATGAACCAATCTACTGAGCATAGCACAGTTCCCATAATCCGAACACATTCCCAAAACCTCACCCTTCCACATGCTGCAAAGGGAACCAAGCTATCAAAATAAGCATCTTTGGGATCATTTTATATTAAAGCAATGGGAACACATATATAAATATCTTCTTACACATGTATTTAATTATATACATACACACATGAATCTTGAGACTGAAAAAATAAAAGACATAGAGCCAAATGCTGAGTGCATTACCAGTGGGGCAGTAACTGCCATGACTTTTTGCTTATGTACATGTTATGAATCTCTTAAAAGAAGACATAAATAGCATCATTACTAATTGGAGAAAAATAGATATTTGATGCAAGTTATTGGCCTTTTAAAAAGTACTCATTGTCAAAGGAAGAAAGTCTTCTATTCGCAAACACCATCATCTAAGGAATAGGTGTAATGTATCATGGACTTAATATAATGATAATCTTTAAGTTATAGTTCTAGGGTTAACCCTACTTTAGATTATCATATTGATAGAAAAGACACAGATCTCCATGCATTACTCAAAACTCCCCCTGTGCATAAATGCAACACTATATAATTTTTTGACTTTGGCATTCTAATACAGTATTTCACTAATCTCGTTATTCAAAATACTTAAGATGTCTTACAAATTAAAAGACAAACTTAGCAGCCATGGCTTTCCATGTTCTTCATTCAATGTGCTCGGATCACTTTAACTCTTGCTCCCTTTACTAATCGCCTTCCCCAATCTGACAGGCCTATCAGGATTTTTCTTCACACAAACAATAGTTTCTTTCCCAGAACAGGCTCAGAGCTTGTAAATTTTTTGATTCAGGTGTTTCTCAATATGCTGTTTTTACCCAGATTTGAAAGAAGTGCCATGAGGATTCCTTGGAAGGGCCATCTTCCTTCAAGACAACAATAACAAGGAGGACCAAAGAGACAGAAGAGGAAGTAAAGGTGCTTCCTGCAAAGCAAGCCTGGTGCACTGAGTTCAATCTCTCTCAACACACATATGGTGGAAAGAGAAGACTGACTGTTACAAGTTGCACTCTGACTGACACATGTGTGCATTTGCATAGGTGCACCCACACACATGTGCATCCAAGCACGTACACATATTTGATAAAAGAAAAGATAACAATGTTCTCTCACATGACTGATCTAGGAATGAAGCCACTTGGTAAATTTAACATAAGAGAAGAGAAATGTTAAATGCAAGAAGGTAAGATCTTTAAAAACATGTAAAGAGAACCTTATAATAACCTAGTGCCCATTGAAGACATCAATGTAGAAGGGGAGGTTAGAGGTGAC